CTGAGGCCAGCCGTACAGATGTAATCCAGACGCTTAATAATATTAGAGAAAGAGCATCACAAACTCGTGAAAAACCCTCTCAAATAATCCAAGATATTGTTATTAATATGCCTGAAGAATCTTTTTCATATATGCCTAGTAATGAAGCTATACGTAAACAAATTTCTCGTACTAGAAATAGAAATATGCCTACACAGCCTCAGACATTAGAAAATATTAATGTCCCAGATCAACTACGTACAACTATAAGAGGAGAGCAATTTTTAGCAAAGGATATTGAATTTAATAATGAAAAAATTATGATTTTTTGTACATCAAACAATCTTCAGTATTTAGAAGAAGCCAGATATTGGCTTATGGATGGTACATTTAAGACTGTTCCAACATTATTCCGTCAATTGTATACAATTCATGCAATTGTTGGTGGTGAAAGTAATTCACGTGTTTTTCCAATGGTTTATGTATTAATGACTAGTAAGACAGAAGAATGTTATACGCGATTATTTCAAGAATTAATTAATTTAGGATATGAAGCTGGATATGATTTAAGTCCACCAATTATTATAACAGATTTTGAACAAGCTGTTATTAATTCTATTCGGTTAAATTTTCCTAATTCAGCTAATAAATGTTGCTTTTTTCACCTTTGTCAAAGTCTTTGGAGACAAATTCAAGCTAAGGGCTTATCTATTGAATATGAAGCAAATGCAACTTTTAGTATTAAATTACGTCAATTAACAGCTCTTGCATTTCTTCCTTCTATTGAAATTCCAGCTGCGTTTGACCAAATTAAACCCCTAATGCCTTCTAATGCTACTAGTATTGTTGACTATTTTGAAAATACTTATATTCGTGGAGAAGTTCGGCAACAACTTAGAAATGGAAATATAATTTATGACCCACCAACATTTTCACCATCACTTTGGTCAATATTCGAATTAATTACACAAGGCTATCCTAGAACTCAAAACTTTATCGAAGGTTGGCATCATAGATGGAATAATATTGTTGGAAGGGCCCATGTTGGAGTTTATACAATTATAGAAGAAATGCGTAAAGAACAACACCAAACAGATATAAATATAGAAAGAGTTTTACGTGGAGAACCTCGACCATCTCAACCTAAACATGTTATTAATTATGAAAGACGTATTCAGGCAGTCTTTAGTAGTCGTAATGATTATACTCTTCCTGATTATTTAAGAGGAATCGCTCACAATATCTCTTTATAAATTTTTTTTTATCAACCCCGACTTTTATGTGTCCGGGACGTCATCTGACGCATTTTATTATTTCTCTTTATAAATTTTAAATTTAGCTTTCTTTATTTCATATTTTGTTATTTTTATTTTCATGTTTTTTTTTTATTTTTTATTTTATTTTATCTATTTATTTGACTACATTAGCCTGATATTCTTCTTGAAACTACTTCGTATTCAATTTCTTTTTTATATTTTATTTTATTTTTTTAAATAAATAGATTACTAAGGACAATCTTCGGATTATCCATAGTTAAAGTCAATAAAATATATAATAAACTCTAAACTCAGACTAATATCAATACATAAGTCACTTTTATATTAAATCGTGTTAAATTACCAAGTCACGTCTCTGGCGAACTGCCTTCTTATCATCATTTTAATTGTATAAATAAAATATTCAGTAAAATATCCATTACTCCCGTAATACTAGGTAAAAAAAAAAACGAGTTTTTTTTTTTTTTTCTTTGAGACATCATGAGCATTATGAGCATGAAGATTTGAACCTATAGTACATAAGTATATAAAAAAAATAATTTTTTTTTTCTTTGAGACATCGTGAGCATTATAAGCATGAAGATTAGACTTGATACGGCAGCCTTGCTAATCTTCTCATTAATTATTAAACCTAATATTCACGCCCTGGCTTTTGTTTCGCTTCGTTATGTCAAGAGTTGACTAAATAGTTAAAAAGCTTTTCACGATAGTCCGGTGTTACGATCGGTTGGGAGAGCTTGATGAAATTGTGCCGGTTTGGTTTGATCATGAACAAAAGTAAGTGGTTTAAAACAATAAACTAACACACATAGTTTCGGGTAATAAGGTTTATCTTTATTAAAATAAATCAATACATCGGGTTATCACAATAATATTAATACTATATACAATCATTCAACTACTCGACTACTCTCTCCTTCTAAGCAGAAACTCCTCCTAATCAGAAACTAAACCTTTATATACTTTTAATTCGTATGTGGCTTTAGTTCTTCGATTGGGAGATTTAATCTGTCGTTTGGAGACTCGATCTCCCGTTTGGAGACTCGATCTCCCGATTGGAGACTTGATCTCCCGTTTGGAGATCTAATCACCCAACCACGCCACAACTATACCAAAATAAGAAATATACGGCGATAAAAATAATACTAACTAAAAAAAATAATAAAATTGAGCATAACACCGGGCATAAGCGCGGGCAAATGTCACGGGCATTAAGAACGTCGATCATATTATACTACGCCACATTACATGTGACATCCGGCCTTAATGTGGGGTGATTTAGTTATATCATGCTAGATATCGCCTGATACACATGGCATGTTAAAGTCGGGTGAGGTAAAATAATGTATGATTTTAGTTTATTAAAGCTTCGCAGTTTTTATAATATTCAGAAAGTATAAAAGGAAGTTGCTTCGCTCTTCCTAAGGACAATCTTCGGATTGTCCATAGTTAAAGTCAATAAAATATATAATAAACTCAGACTAACATTAATGCATCAGTCACTTTTATACTAAATCGTGTTAGATCACCAAGTCACGCCTCTGGCGAACTGCCTTCTTATCATCATTTTAATTGTATAAATAAAATAATATCGTAACAGTTTGTATGCAATATCATGATGAAACGAAATTAGGTGAGAATGTTCCGCGTCATTTCTGAATTTACGTCTATTTTGAATTGACACGAATTATTTCTCGATTTTCACCGATCGTGAAATGACCCAGGTAAATTCGTGATGCAGACATGAGTCCACAGCAATGTAATAAACTACTGATAATATTCACGTATTATATAATTTATTAATAACGACAATAAAAATTGCGCATTTATTTGAAAGCGTTTTGTACGTGTATAATGGTCTCAAGTTCAAGAACAA